CCCCCCCATTTGAGTGTAAGGGATCTGCGTTCTAGAGAGCAAAAGAAAAATATTTCAGGAAAAAAAATAGTATTCTCCTGTCTGCCTCCTGTTGAGCACTGTGCATGGTCATAATATAATGAATCTTTGATTGCACCAAATGATGCCCATGTGAGCCTACGACAACCCTCCAGTACAGTGCTTGTAGGAACTGTTTGCTGGCAAGTTTGCAGATAGCCTGCCCGGCTTTTGGGGATTGTCCAGCTGCAGTAGGTTCAGTGGGTAATGCTTTCAGAAACGCTAAAGCAACTTGGATACCCCGAATCTTCTTTTTCAGCAATGACAAGAAGACTTCGGAGGAGAAGTGTTGAAGACAGAGGTTTCCATAAATGGCACTTTGGTACCTAAGGGACGAGGTTTTTTGCAGATCTCGTCATTTGATGGTGATCACAGGAGGCTTCCCTGCAGTAATGGATTCCCAGTCTGATTTTTTTGTTCTTTTCCATATGACTCGGGCAGTTTTGTCAGTGAGATACTCCTGACTGATGCTAACACTGGGCAAAAGAGATCATCTAAATGAGATGCTTACGAGTTCTGCAGGACTGCCTCCTACAACAACTTTCTTGGTTCCTGCCTTCAGTTCCCAATTGACTTTCTGATTGCCATCCTGCTGTTTGGATAGTTTCCCCTTTAGCAAGCCAGAGAGCTGTATTTGTCCATCAGTTCTCTGCAGCATGCCTTGAACTGGGGGTGAGGCTGGTGCTCTGTCCGGGAAGGCACATCTTACTGAGCAGCACCAGAGCCAGCTTAGCACGCAAACTCCTGGGAGCTATTTTAGCAGTGTAGCAGCGTAATGACCTGTGCTGGCTTTAGTCTAACCTGGAAGATTATCAGCTATGCTTCAGGCAAGTTACTCATACCAGCTTAGAGACCAGCTCTTAAGCTCTTGTACTTTTCTGTTTTGTCTGCTTCAGAAATTTCCATTGCAGGTCAGGTGTGAGGGTTTTATTTCTTTCTTCTTTTTTTTTGTCATTGTTATTGTTTGGCTTTTTGGGAGAGGGGTTGGGTATTGTTCCAGTATTTGAAACACAAAGTGCAGACTCAGAAAGTGAACAGAATCACATGTTTTATGGAAAGGAAAATCCTCATGGGAGGAGCAGCCAGAGTTCATGATTAATTTCTAGAGCATGCATGCACGCCATGTATCAGAGAGGGAGGGGAGCTCCTTCCTTTATCCTTCATGCTTCTTTCATCTTCAAAAGAAACATTTGTAGCTGGTGAGCCTTATAGATGTGGGATCTGAAAAAATTATTTCTGCCAACAAAAAAGGACCCGGACTTGAGCTGCCTTGCAGGTTCTGTCAGATGGCGTTGGATAGTAAAAAAGGTGTTTCCATCCTGAATAGGATTTTTAACTGTCTCTTGCTATCAATAATAGTCTTTGGAAGCTGTTCCTTGCTTTGACTGCTGTCAGATGTTCTGAGTCAAAAAAAAAATATACTAGAGTGCAGTTTATAGAGCAGTTTCTACCTTCAGAGCTTGCAGGGAGTTACAGAGGAGAGTGTGATGAAGTAATCCTCCACTTCCCATGTGGAAACTAGGGCAGAATGGAGAGAAGAACTGGTTTGGTGACTCGTGCGCTTTCCTGGTGGCTGAGGAAACCCATGTCCAGCTACCAGCTTTCCCGCAGACTTCCAAGGTGTCACATCAGGGAGTCACGCAGAACAGTACCGGGCAGGTCTGACACCGGGTCCCGACTTTGTCTCTAGCTAACAGAGCCTGGTTCTCCAAGGGCTGGTGCAGAGTTGGACCTTAACATGTGCAGTTAAGTCCAAAACCCAGAGGTGTTTTGGAGACTAGGCTTGATGAGAATCATCTTTTTAGCATCTTTGTGGCTCTGTAGTCACTTCCAAATCCATTAGGTGTTGAAAGACTGAATAGAGATTGCGAGCGTTGTTGGAGCCATAGGAAGATGGGAGATAACAGAAGCAGGAAGATGCGAGGGCAGTCAGCAAGTCAGTGGCTGAGCTGTGAATAAAACTGTCTTCCTGGATCTAATCTGCAGACATCACGCCTGTCTCCTGGCTGCTCTGACTCTTCCTGGCCCTCTCAATCAAAGGCTAGGTCGTCCTGTGGGCTAGGAGACCGTTGTTGCCTTTGTGAGCTCAGTGTTCTGTCTCTGTTCTTTTTTCAGGTTAGGTTTGTGTGAAGTCCCTCGTTCCTTCCACCCGAATCTCTATCTCTGAAGCGGTCACCAGCGTGTGGAGCCTGCCCCACACCCGTCACCTGCCAAACCACGGCCTTTACCTGTGTCTTCCGGTGTTTCCCGTGCGACCCGTCCTGCGGGAGTGCCTCCTGGGCCACCCCAGAGTTCACGCAGCGCTCAGTGGCTCCAATGGTGAAGATGACAAGGTCCAAGACTTTCCAGGCATATCTGCCTTCGTGCCACAGGACCTACAGCTGCATTCACTGCAGGGCTCATCTTGCCAACCACGATGAGCTCATTTCCAAGGTACGTGCATGACCTCACCTGCAGGTGCTGGGCTAACGCCTCCTCCCCGGGGAGCGGAAGGGTGCGTTTGCTCACATTGCAGGTCAGTTGCTGCTGGAGGTGCCTGGCCTTAACTGGTACCACAGTTTTTGCTTGGAAAACGGGCTCTCAGCCTAAATGATCTACTTGTGAGCTGCCATTTTTGTTTTAAGCGATCTTGAAAATAGCTGTAGGGGACAGGTTTCCAAATTCGGGCTTCTGGAGTGCTTACAGGTGGTCTGTCTCTTCTCATGGTACTGCCTCCCCCTTCTCATTTCCAGCTGTAAAATTGCACTAACTGATGGCCAGGACTGCGTAAATTACCTTCCCAATACTTCTTGTTTGTGTACATGCTTCTCAGCATAGCCAAAGGGTTGTTGCATGATTTGGAGGCGAAGTATCTGTTCTCTCTGTTAAACTCTGAGCTGTACCAAGCGACTATGCTAAAGCCCCTACTTGAGGGAAGGTTCTCTGATGCTTCTATCAAAAAGTAAGACAGCTTTCCAAAGACTGATGAACTGTTACTCAAACCCTCGTATTTTGGCCAATCTACTAACAAGACACTTTGCAGTGAAAAAGCAAGGGGTGGATGGTAGGCTGTGCTCTGAGCTCGGGAGGGTGGAAGGATTCTGTCCTGTCTTCTGATCTGTTGATCACAAGGGGAAGAATCTTGAGGATAAGCTAAATTAAAAGCTTTCAGAGCCAATAAGTCAGGGGCCTTTGATGGGAAGGGAACAGGCTGGTAAGAGGATCTCTTTCTGAAGTGCAAAAACTAAACTTTTCTCAGAGTGTCTACTGGAGCCTGCAGTGCCTGGCTGTGGTCAGGCATCAAGTTTCCAGGTTTTGGCTGTCTTGACAATCAACTGTTCCATAAAGTTTATTCAGCTTATAAAACTTGTGTTCAGAAAAAGCAGACACACCATAAGATTTATTAGCTGAGATGAGAGGAAATTGCACTGTGAGCTCTGTGTGTGCAACTTAAACCAGTTCAGCTTCTTGGAGCAGCCTTGAGAGAAAGGTCAGGATCGCAAGGGACAGAGGTGCTCTGCCTGTTAGAAAGTGTGCAGTGCTTTCCCCCATCCTGTTTGCACGGAAAAGGTTAGAATGTGTCACCTTGTACCAAGGGCATCTGTCCTTACAAGGCTGACAGCAGCTGTGGAGGCCCTTTTGGATTCTCTGTGTGGGGAGCTCGGACCTGTCTTCTTTTGTTGAAGGCTGTCTCCTTTCTTTTTGTCTTGGTTTTTGCATGGGCCAGGTTGATCCGCACCTCTGTGATGATGTTTACATGCCAGACAATAGAATTTAAGTATTGTGCTATGAATAGTGCTGATTGCAGACTGCTACAGTTTTGATTTTCGCCATTTCTGAATGGACAGGCTCCCTACTGGCTATCACTTGTGAGTCATTCTGGGCCTCGTGGGGGGCTCCTCCTGTTCTGGTACAATGGTCCTTGAGGACTGTGAAGCCTCAGGCTTTTAAAGAGGAGAAGGTTGTACATGTCCTCAACAGAAAGAAGTTTTAAAATGTAAATGTCAACAGCAGTCTGCACTTGTCAGGATGTGAAATGCATTCAACCTCTCGGACCGACTGTGGGACTTCAGGCTCTTGCGCTCAGTTGGGATATCTGTAAAATGGGGTAGTCAGTCCCCTGCCTTTCCACTGGGAGAGTTGTTACCAGCTGGATTTTGTGTTGGGACCCAGAAGATGCTTTACTGGATAAAGAAGGAGGCTTGTTTTATTTACTGTTTTTACGGTGGATTAGAGTTTGTGCTCTGCTTTTTTTTGACATAGCTGGTCCCCAGCCAGGGAAAACACAAGGCTATGCATGCCCAGTGGTTTTGCCTTTGACACTTCCTTCCCCTTCTTATTCTGTGTTCATGCTCCTTCTGGTCCACTGTGCAATGTAGACAGCTTTGCGGGTAAGTAGCTTCCAGCAGGGCAATGCCAGTGCTGCAGACTGCTTGGAATTTGAGCTTCTCGCCGTCGAGGCATGCAGAAACTGCCCAAGAATGCTGACTGCTAAAATGTGGACTTGAGAGGGAAGGTATGAAAGCACAATATGAGGCTATGTGTATTGAATCATGGAAGTATTAACTGCACTGTGCTGCAGTGCTTGTATCTGCTCGTTCTAAAAGTTTGTTGCAGACTGTGGTGTAAATTTGTGATAGTGTTGGGACCACATTGCTGGTGGAGCACTAGCAGGTCGTGCAACTTGAATGCAAAGAGTTTGGGGTTTTGGGTTTTATTTCTCAGAATTATAAACCCTAATAAGATACATTCTTTGTATAATTGAAAAACTTATGAAAGTAATTGTGCAATCATAATTTGTACAACTGGCTATTAAACTGAGAACAGAAGGGCAGTCCCTGCCTCAAGGGGTTTCCAATATGTGTAGAAACTTTCCCAGGCAAACTTAAATAGTCATCTTTTTATCTGTTTGAGTTAGGTTTTAAACATCTCCCTGAGGCCTTCTGCAGTTCTTTCATCACAGCCTTATATTAGCATCTGAGAACGAGGCAGTGCAACTGCCGTGCTTGTTTTCCATATGAAAATGTGGCAAATGGAAGGAAGAAACAAGCACCGTGAGGACTAAAAAGGGAGTGGGAGAATTTGTCAAACCGGAGTGTTTCTCAGCCTGCAGTGTATCCCATCTTGATCCTGACTATGTCACTTTAATCAAAACAGCCCAAATGACACCATCTTTGGAAACGTTCCCCAGAAAACAGGCTTTTATGTAACAGCAGGGTGTTGGTGATTTGGCTTGATGAAATTAATTCCTCTATTCCTTTTGCCCCAAGTTGTGCAGAGACCACATGAGAGCTATGCTGCTTTGCACGCCATGAGCTTTTAGCTCCTTTGGATACATCCACATTGCAGCATTGGCTCACGCCGTTGGCTGAAACGCAAACTGGAGCTGAATCCCAGTATTGTTCTGTGTCAATCCATACTTTATTTCCTCTTCATCTCCAAGTTTCCCCTCTTAGGCCTTCAGCACCAGTGTTAACTTACTCTGACTTCAAAGTGTTTTGCCAGGACCGGGTATCTGAAACTCTTTGATAAATGTGCCTTGGCAGGGCAGTTTTTGCTTTCCTTTCTACTTAAGGAAAACCTTGGGCATTGAAATGGGTAGAAGGTTTCTCAATAAGTCATTGCTATTTAAAGAAAATAATCGATGCCAAGGCTTTTAAGAAAATCTGAAGCTGTTATGTGAAGCCAGTTACCAAAACGTTGCCTGCTTACTTGGCCTTTTATCTTCTGCAGCCAGAGGGAGAAAGTGGTTTAGTATGTCTGATTTGTAATAAGATCTAAATTGTGGGTTGGATCGTCTGGCCAAGAAAGTTCTTATTGACTTAGGAAATATAAGGTGATCAGATGGATTGGGTGGAGTGAGGAACTAGTTTTCCTTTATAGGTTCCTTTGGTGTCTGGGTTAGCACGAGTGGAGGTTCTTGTTCCCTTGTAGCAACGCATCATTTAAAAATCTGTGCCAAATTTAGTACATACTCTTGTTTCATTGCTTTTTCCGATGCGCAAGTGGCCTGAGACTTTGGGAACTCAACCTTGCTCTGCAACAGATTCCTGTGTGACCTTGAGTAAGTCACTTAATGTCTTTGTTCCTCCTTTCCCCACCTGTACAATTGAAATGCTGCTGTTTTGTCCAGTCTGCTTGGAAGATAAAGCTTTGGAGCAGGTACTGTCTGCTCTTAAAAATTAGTACAGTGTGTCCTAATCCTCTTTGGCTTTACTGTAAAAACAAAAATACCATGCCAGGCAACTGTAGTTTAAAAAGCATATTTCAATGCCTCTCAATTGCCAAAAAATAAGTGAGAGACTTGTTATCGTTATCTTTCCCAGGCACAACATCCCATGGTTTGTAGACTGTTTAAGAAAAATATGTATTTGATAATCAATGGTGTGGCAAAACCTCTCCAGGAAGGAGACAGAGGGGCTTTTCTTGAGAAATGTGCTTTCTGCGTCATTTTCTAGTGGGGCCTGGGGCACAGCTAACATAATAGATGTTCAGCAGTGGAAATTGCATCTTTTTTTCTTTCTCAAAGTGGCAGATGTGATGCTGGTTTCTACCTACTCTGTCCTATTCAAACTCTTTGTCAGCCTTTTCTGTTTGAATTTATATGTACCTGGTGTCCAGTAAAAAAGGCTGGGAACAAGAGCAGAAAGATACAGGCCAAACACAGCCACGTTAGTGTCTTGGTTGCTGACTTTTTTTGCTCTGTGAGCAGTAATTCAGCAGAAATGTCCATGATTATGGAAATATGTAGGGAATGTCTTGTGGGCGTCCTGCAGTTTCTTTTTTTCATGAATTACTGGGATCCAACTGCTAAACATTATGCAGTGACGTATGCTTTGAAGTTAGCCTAAGGCTTGCCAAGGAAGTTTAATGTTTTCCTTTGATGTCTGCACCGGACCCTTACTGAACATGAATGTGAAATCCTTCAACACAAAAGGCTGCAGCTCTTCCAGCACAGAGAATTTAGGAAAAACAGAGAACTTGCGTGTGCCTGACTGTCTCGATTGGGGTTGGATTATTAGCTAGGGAACACTGAGAAGCGCTCTTTTCTATCTTCTCAGACAGGAGTTGCAAGGTTTACAAGCAAACCTTGCTCCCAGTCATTGTGGTCCGGCTGCTTCCCCAGCTAGCAGGCTGCTGGAGCCTGAGCCTGTTAGTACAACAGCCTCTTAGTGAGCTTTATGGCATGCTGAAAGCACCAAACTTTGCTCCATGTTGCAGCTGGGGGATCTTGAAAAGATTCGGAACTTTGGTGCTGACTTTCAGATAAGTTGTGGATGAGTTCAGCTATTTTGAAGCATTTGATGCACCTTGTATAGGTGAAGTGAGCAGCAATTGTTGGGCTTTTTGGGTTGTTTTTTCTTCCTGAGTATGTGGGCAAGGCAGTGTATAATGTTCTTAGTGCTTTACTTCTTATGAACCAGCCGATATTTGTATGTCAGTTCACCTTGAAG